TCTATAATGTGGAACAAATATACTTATATCTCATGGCAGACAGTAAACTGGTATACTGGGGTGTTTTATAATGTGGAACTAATATATCGATCATGGCAGTAGAATACTGCAGTGCTTTACAATGTGGGAAAAATATACCGTATGTACTGACAAACTCAAGGCAGTGGTATATGGGGTGTTTTATAATGTGGAATCAATATACTTAAGTCTCAGGGTAGTGGTATACTGTAGTGCTTTATGTGGCATCAATATACTTATATCTCTGGGCAGTGGCATACTGAGGGGCTTCATAATGTGGGACCAATATACTTACATTTCTGGGCAGTTGTATGCTGGGGGGGGGGCTTTATAAGATGAGGCCAAATACTTGTGTCTCAGAATTTTACTAATGCAGGTAAGACAAAACTTGCAAATCTAAACTTTTGTAACAATCATATTCATATTATATTTATGTACCTTTTAAGTCAAACTTAGAATCATTTATGTATTATATCTCTGCTTTGACAATTAGGCATATTAATTTTGAATTTGTAATCAGGTCCACCTTAATGATCACCTCACAGCATAATTAAGGTTGTGAGAGTATTTTAAAGTATGACAAAATTTAAGACCTAATGTTGCCTGTTGAATGGTCTGTGTAAGAAACAAATGGAAAAAGATGGAAGCAAATACTGAATGGAAAAACTGCTGCAAGCAAAGACAAAATGGTGCAAGCAAATGATGTCAAAATATTGAAGTGGGTGATGTGACTTATAGCTACCACGCCTACTCATTAGCATCACATGTTTCATACTGACACTATCACCATGTGAATCACAACCACTACTCATTAGCATCACATGTCTCATAATGACACTATCACCATTTGAATCACAACCACTACTCATTAGCATCACATGTTTCATACTGACACTATCACCATGTGAATCACAACCACTACTCATTAGCATCACATGTCTCATAATGACACTATCACCATTTGAATCACAACCACTACTCATTAGCATCACATGTTTCATACTGACACTATCACCATTTGAATCACAACCACTACTCATTAGCATCACATGTTTCATACTGACACTATCACCATGTGAATCACAACCACTACTCATTAGCATCACATATTTCATACTGACACTATCACCATGTGAATCACAACCACTACTCATTAGCATCACATGTCTCATACTGACACTATCACCATGTGAATCACAACCACTACTCATTAGCATCACATGTCTCATACTGACACTATCACCATGTGAATCACAACCAAAGTTATAGTAAGTTATAGTGTATCTGTACCGAAAATGTTATTTAAAATGGTTAAAAAATGTTGAAACTTATATGATTTCAGTCTTTATATGATATAAAGTGGTAGCCAGCTAAGTGGTGTACATTAGACCTAAATGTCTGACAAGCTGCTAGTACTGCTAACAGTGCCTCACAACTTTGATAGTGACATTTTTGGTTGACAGTATGTGACATCCATTCACTAGGAGTTTGGCCAGAATCACATTTAAACTCTTACTGTTAAACAACTAGGATGTCAACAGTCTGTATGTGCTTACTAGAAATTCTGTCAGACACTGATCATTTATTTACACCATTTGAACTTTAGCTATAATTGATTAATTACCAGAATTTCCTCCTGAATGCTTAAGTCTGTAGTTCTATCTTTCCAGTAGAATTGCATCATTTAGCACTACTTGGCTAAACCTGTGTATTAAAAGCCAAGGCTTTTATTTAAACTTGGTCTACACTCTGTGATGCAGACTATTTACTTTCAAGGATGATTCCATTTTGTGCCAATTGGGCTGCAACGTTTTTTTAAATGACAGCTTACAAAAAACTTGGAATATTCTACAATTATAACCAATTTGCCAATAATAACACATCAGTGTCTAGCTACCAAGGCAAGTTTTGTTAGCAGTACACTATGTCTTGCTAATATTTAAACAAATAAATCAATGAATCTTTTCTTCCTGAACAATAGTCCATTGAGTCTGTCTTACCTTCCATTATGAACTTTTGGACAGGTGAATGATACATGATGATTAGACATGGTTAAGTAATGGTCATCTGAGATTACAGAGTACACTGTGAACAGTGACCACTGATATGACCCTTATTTATCTACATGTATCTATTCTGTAGCCATTAACTGTAACTGTCATCTTTACCAGCTAATTATTATAAGTAATCTTTCAAATCTATATAAAGTGGTAAGTTCCATCAAACCCTTTGCTAGTGAAGATGCCACCAGGGTAGGATAAGGTACACTGTAGGAGGATAAGGTACACTGTAGGAGGATAAGGTACACTGTAGGAGGATATGGTACACTGTAGGAGGATAAAGTACACTGTAGCAGGATAAGGTACACTGTAGGAGGATAAGGTACACTGTAGGAGGATATGGTACACTGTAGGAGGATATGGTACACTGTAGGAGGATAAAGTACACTGTAGGAGGATAAGGTACACTGTAGGAGGATAAAGTACATTGTAGGACATGCAATATTCCACAGTATAAAGGGTAACAAGGACCAAAGGCTAATGAATTTCAGTTGGGCTACAGGTGGTTCTTTTCTTGGTACCTTCTTGGAATCCATCTTATTCTAAAATTGTTCAGCTCCAGTCAAGTCCTCTTACAATAAAATTTCTTGCAACAGGTTCTCTCAACATTAGACTGCATTTACAGCCTTGGTAAGTCCTGATCGAGAAACAGGTCAACTCAAGGCTATCAAACATTATTGTCATGACACTTTATCCTACCCTAAACTTACCTGAATCTGAACCTATTTTGACTTGGTATGTGCCTCACATCAGATCATGCAGAGTACAAATTACAGTCAATGGACAAAAGAAGAAAACAAAGAGCCAAGTAGTTCACCCAGTTGACATATGCCCAACAGCCAAATATAAGAAACGCTTGTAATAAATCTAGATTTCAAGGATATTTTCTGAAAAAACATTCTTCCAATGATGTTCATTGGACATGATTTTCAAACAGTTGCTTCATTGTTTCTCTTTTGTTTTATTATCTTTAGACCTATTTCATGGCACATCATCAGCATTATATGTCCAATACCAAAACATCAATGCCAATGGTTTCTGTTAAAAGTTAGTAAATTTAATTAAAAATTTTTAGACAATTTTGTTATGTCTTTTTATTTATAACATTTTCACAACTGAGTTCAAAACTGAAGTCATTTGACCTTTGACAAGAGTCTAACTTAAAATCTCAAGAGTCAAAACAAATCTCAAGAGTCTCAACCGAAATCTCATGTCATTTGTTTTTGATTCATGACCTCATAGCTGAGATTATTTCTTATTCATGGAGCAAACTGATGCATGAGATTTCTTGCAACATGAAGTAATTTATTATCCTTCTATTTAGAATTGTTACTAGCTTTCTGTTTTTATGGAGTCGTAGGGTCAAAACAATCATCAACTGCAGGTGGTTTCTGAGACTAAGACAGAAAAAAATACAATTCTTTAAGCCACTGTGAATAATTAATACAATGAGACAGAGTATGACATTTCAAAGAGAAGGAAATGGAATATATCTTGCAAATCACTGTAAAGAATTTTTCAACTAAAATCCACATGCATTTTTAGTTTCCTTCACAAGATTACTGGCTGACAACTACTCATGGCATTAATGGCAATTACTGACAACTACTGGTGGCATTATTTGGCAATCACTTACTGACAACTACTGGTGGCATTATTGGCAATCACTAACTGACAACTACTGGTGGCATTAATGGCAATCACTGACAACTACTGGTGGCACTAATGGCAATCACTGACAACTAATGGTGGCATTAATAGAAATCACATACTGACAACTACTGGTGGCACTAATGACAATCACTAACTGACAACTACTGGTGGCATTAATGGCAATCACTGACAACTACTGGTGGCATTAATGGCAATCACTTGCTGACAACTAATGGTGGCACTAATGGCAATCACTTACTGACAACTAATGGTGGCATTAATAGCAATCACATACTGACAACTACTGGTGGCATTACTGGCAATCACTTACTGACAACTACTGGTGGCATTAATGGCAATCACTGACAACTACTGGTGGCATTAATGGCAATCACTTGCTGACAACTATTGGTGGCACTAATGGCAATTACAACTACTGGTGGCATTAATGGCAATTATTAACAAGCTGTCAATATTTTTCTTGTCCAGATTTCTCCTTGAATCATTTTAATGTACTAAAACAGCCATGCTCTTCCTGCAAGAAAGTTCAAATTTCGGTTTTCCTGGATTTTTAATTAACTGACTGTATTCCAGTACTTCTCCAAGCTATGTTCATCCTAAAGAAAAAGTTTCAATGATGGTCATGAGATATATTTCAGTTTCACATTTCGTACCCTGTTTCTTATCATTGAGAGAATTTCAAGATTTCTGAAAAAAATCTTATTTTATTTTGAGAATAAAATGAATTTTGCCAGTCAAATTTTGTAAATTTATTATTACTAACAAAATCCAAATCATTAAAAACATTAATCAAAATCATTAAATCCTAAACTAAAAAGTCTGACCTGGGAGATCCAAAATTACACAAGTTATTTGCCAACTGGAATCATGTGAAAAATTATTTTCGAGCGAAACAGAGTAGTGGTTATGAAAGTGGAATAATGTGATCACTGAATGAAGTGTTGACTCTGAAGAAAGTTACCCTTACCCTCCCACTCCTTGTATGTCCATGCAAGTAGGTGTGTGTGTGTGTGTGTGACTCAGATTTTTAATGTAGCTTTAACAATTTTTCTGTCATATTGCTATGATGTCTGCAGTGTGACATTTTTTAGTGACGTCTAGCTCTGGGGCATCATGCTGCAGACATATGGCACGATGTCCCATCCAGTCACATTATCCTGACAATAGGCAGACCAGTTCTAACACTAACCTCTTAATGATGAGCGCCAAGCGAGGCAGCTTTTAGTACCATTTTTAAAGCCTTTGGCATGACTCTGTCCGGGTTCAAACCAACGACCTCCCACATCCAAGGCGGACGCTCCAACCACTAGGCCACAGGAGCTATCACACACAAGTAGGTATACACATATATGTATATGTGTGTGCATATACCGGTAGATGTGTATGTATGTGTATATGAATGCTTTTTGTACATGACTATACTGTATACACATGCTCTTATATTTAATTTGATTGGAATGCTAATATTCCCATATACCAACAGTGCAAAACTAGTATCTAACTAGCCTGAGTTCTTTCAACTTTTGATGAGTCTTTTTCAAAGGCACTTACAAAACATAGACAAAAGAAACAAATAAAACATAGAAAACATTGTGTTTGTAAAACTCTACGTGGCTATTTCTACATAAATTAAACCTATAGATGCATTGTCTCAACCAACCTATATAGACTTGTTGCGAATACTGATAAATATTTGTAGTTAATTTGAAATCTATGAACTATAGCGACATCTATTACTTTGTGTACATTTATGTAATGCAAATTATATCCTGGACATATGATTCTATTCTGGATATTTAATTCTTATAGTAGTAATTAAAGGATACTAAGACTAAGATATGCCCTAACACCAGCCTCTTAATGCGATGCAGCTGCTAGACCAAAGTGTCACCTGCAAAGGATAATTCTACTAGTGCACAGCTATCTTTTTCTAGTCTTCTTGTTCTAAGGCAGCGATTCCTTTTCTTTCCTGGTTTCAGAACTCCAGTTGGGGTTGCTAGCAATTGTGATAAGTGTTATATCAATGAATGTGTGGCTAGGTAAGAAGTGTTCTGCGACCGGTCTTCTGTACAGCTTCTTTGTCATCCAGTCAGATCTATGAAGGTTTATCCTTTTGTGTAGCTTTTCAGTTTCTCTGACGTACTGAAGTCTACAGATCTTACACATGATGAGATAAATTACATTCTCTGTATCAGCCTTTTCTTTCTTTCCATAGTTGAGTAGGTCATCGAAGTTTGTTTAGTCCTTTGAATAGCCTCCGCAATGAGGTCCTTGTCATAGCCTCGGTAAATTAAATGTTTTGACAGCTCTTCAAACCATTTTTGAATGTTTGATCATTGGAGCATGTTCTTCGTATCTTCAGTGCCTGGCTATATGGAATGTTCAAATTGCACTATTTTGGATGACAGATGGTTGGGAGGAGATACTGGTGTTCATCAGTTGGTTTCAAGTAGATGTCTGTATGTAGTTTGTTTTCGATCAGTCTGGTTGTTTCATCCAGGAAAATGTGGCTTGAGTTGGAGATTTCTGCTGTGCATTTTATTGAAAGATGGAAGTTGTTTGCCTTTGATATGAAGTCATCCAGAATTTCTCTTCCATGTTGCCAATTCATTTCTATATTATCGATAAAGCATACCCACTGGTATGGTGAATGCTCAACTGATGCTAAGAGCTGACCCTCCAGTCACATATATATATATATATATATATATATATATATATATATATATATATATATATATATATATATATATATATATATTTCAATTCACTAGTTTCTCTCTTCTTTATTATCTCTTTCCTTTTATCTTTACCCTTGCTTGTCTTCTGATTTAAATAATGTATCAAGATATATGTATTACATGTATTATTTTTCTCCATGCCAATAAAAAAACTTTGAAAAAAAACAACTATTTACTTTACTGTGTCATCTGAGACACAATATTTTTGTTTTGTTGGGCCAAACCTTTTTAGCTCTAATGTTTCAAATTTTTTCTATGCAAATAGGTTTTACATACATATCTGAATTCAATGTAGGTTCAGTTTTCAGTTTTCTACTAAGTTTTAATTATTAAAATTTTTATTGACAAACTGCTTTATTTGAAAAGCATAGAAACAATAGATGTCAGTTACCTTAAGCAGTAGTGTTATTTTATTTTAATATTTTAGAGTATACATTCATCCAAAGTCACTGTAGTTCACTTTTTGTCATATTAATTAACCAAGTTTTTGTTAAGAGTTCTGTAATAAAGCTGTACTGTGTAGATGGGTGGGAAGGTCCATGGGTATGTGAAATGAAGATATATTTGCTCTGCAACATAATATATATTGGTCTGTCTACACATTTATCTATCATAATGTAATAACTAGTTAATGAAACCAAAACAAGTTTACAGGAATCCATTAGCAAAGTCTGGATCTTCTGGATTGAATTTGTAACTTTAAAAAAAAGTCAGAGGACTCATTAAGTCTAAGAACTGGGAGACATGAACTCCTAATGGTACAAAACCCGTTGGATGGTTAATAAGCATCATCTGTTCAAGTCAGTCTTACAAAAATGGTTTCTCAAAACTTGGTCAAATTCTGCTAAACCGTTTGAAAGTTTTCCTAATGGTAGCCATATTATGTGATGACATATAGGCATGACTTGCATGGATTTTAAATACTTTTATACCTGGAAGTTTTCTGTACAGCTTGGTAAAAATTATTTTTTTAAAAAAATAAAATCATTGAATGTTTTTCTATGTTTAGAATTTGTAATTAAAGGCTCTATACCTGGATGCTTCCAGTTAAATTTAGTCAAATTCTGTCTAGCAGATTTGAGAAATTTTATGTATAAAGGTTTTGTTTTAGAAACCATGACTATATTTGATGGCGCACAGGCATCAAATATGAAAACCATCCATGTGTGAACACTTGAGGTTGAATTGGGTCAAATTATGTTAAGTGATTTTTAAAAAAAAAGAAATTATTTAAAGATTGTTCTATCTTGAGCACAATGAAATTATGATGAACACCTGCTGAGTTTGTAAAGACTCGTTAAGTTCTAGTAGTGGTGAACATATCTGATGGTGGACATTGGTATAAAATTTGAAAGGCCTTCCTACCAAGATATTCTTCCCCAAGTTTAGCTGAAATTGGTTAAATGTTTATTTTTTTAACTGTTAACAGGCACACAAGGAACAAAGCATGAGGGACATTGTGCCATACAACTCATATTCTCTCCTTTTGACCAGGTGAGTTATTTAGCAGCTTTTCTTTATCCTATTCTCAAATTTCATGACATGATACAATTAGATTTTCCATGGCAAAGTAAATTTCTTGAATTAAAGATATATTTTTATAGGTAATGAATTGGTACTGTTCCCAGATTATTAGCATTTTTAGTGTATGTATTTTATGTTTATTTTGGGCTCTGTCTATAAGCCTCTAAAAGTTCTCAATCCAAATATTGCAAGTGATCTGATGATGACTGTGTATTATGCAAGTTATCTGATGATGACTGCATATCATGAAAGTGATATGATGATGACTGTATATCATGTAAGTTATCTGATGATGACTGTGCATGATGCAAGTGTTTATATGATGACTGAGCATGATGCAAGTGATATGATGATGACTGCATACCATGCAAGTGATATGATGATGACTGCATACCATGCAAGTGATATGATGATGACTGTGTACCATGCAAGTGATATGATGATGACTGTGTACCATGCAAGTGATCTGATGATGACTGCATACCATGCAAGTGATCTGATGATGACTGCATACCATGCAAGTGATATGATGATGACTGCATACCATGCAAGTGATATGATGATAACTGTGTACCATGCAAGTGATATGATGATGACTGAGTACCATGCAAGTTATCTGATGATGACTGCATACCATGCAAGTTATCTGATGATGACTGCATACCATGCAAGTGATATGATGATGACTGAGTACCATGCAAATTATCTGATGATGACTGTGTACCATGCAAGTGATATGATGATGACTGCATACCATGCAAGGTATCTGATGATGACTGCATACCATGCAAGTGATCAGATGATTATTGCTTTGCAAGCAGGGATTGTCCTGAGCTTCGTCCATGTCACAAATTTCAATATTTTTTCCCTTATCGGAAACAAAATATACCATCTGGTGATTTTTGGGCAATAGCCTTTTTGGCAGTTTAATTTGTACATACAATCATGGATTTGGAAGGGACCATGAAAGTCAGCTACACACTTGCATAAACAATGCACTTGGAATCTGTTACATAAACAAATACTTTAATTGTATTGACAGTGCATTCTTACATCATATTCTGCTCATGTTGTCATCTGGCCTGAGTACTGTATGCTGGGGGGATATACTCAATCATGCTACCGACTATACCTACAATCGACTGACCTGTGAAGACGTGAACAGAAACAGCTACAATAAATTGAATGACAGCTAATCCTTCTGTTATTTTTTTTAAATATACCAATAAAAAAGTTTTGCAGAATCTTTAGAGAAAACTGATTACCTTTGAAGTACTTATTGCTGAGTATAAATACAAAGCAAATGGGAAAAAATCTGAATCATAATTATAAAGTACTGTCAAAAGTAAAAACATAAGTTAGACGTTTCGTGTTCATTATCTCATCCTAAGAGTAAGTTAACAAAGTGAACAGCACTTTTAATTTAGTTCAAATTCCTGAGACAATACAGTCACTGATCCTGATGTTATTCTTGACAGTCCAACATCATCTGCATGTAGTGATGGTAGTAATGCTTCAAGTGCAATATCAAATCATGATGAACAGGTCAAAAGTTCCAGAAAATTTTGCAAGTGTCCATGGCTGAGATATGATACAAAGTTAAAGGATATGTTCTGTGATATATGTATCAAGGCACAATTCGTCAATTCATTTACAACTGGCTGATTCTGTTAATTTTGTTAATCTTTTACATTTGCCAAAACCCATGTTACAACTTCAGGGACTTAAACTACACAACCAGAAATAGCAAAACAAACAAGTTTCACGTAAATGAAAATAATTTATTTTTCAAAATACAGGAGTAAAAGAATTAAATTCACTAACAATATGGTGAATGAATTCCTATTTCCTAAAAGTCCTTTCAATTCCAATAGTTCCAAGAAATCTGAATATATTCCAACAAAAAAGCCCCTTCTGTGCTTAAGTTTCAAATGTACAGCATGATTTCCAAAGAATTCAATTAGTTGCTGAATAAATATATTTAATACTGTACAGTTATTCAAAAATTGATCTTTAAACAAACCAAACTGGGTGATTGAATCTGAAATCACGCAGAT